GGGAGGGGGGAGAGGGAGGGAGGGGCTCCCCTACAGCCCCCACCTCTGAGCCTCAGTCCTAGCCAGTGCTGAGGGAGCACAGGTGCTGGTGCCTCACTGGGGCCCCAAAGAGTGAACACCATGTCTCCAATTCTGGAGGAGGCTCTGTCGTTCCCATGGACTTTGTGGGTTACCCCTTCCCAGGGGGAACCCCCTTCAGAAAGTGGCCCCAAGCCTGAGGGAGTACTGCCCTGCAGCCCTGGGCTGCGTTGGGTGCATTTCCGTCAGGGCCTGGAAAGCCCAGCCTTGGTCCAAGTCTGTGGTGTGTCTGTGGTGCGTCCCTCAGGAGAGGATGCGAGGGCCATGGCCTAGTGGGCTCGCTCCCATCCCCGCCCCTGTGGGTGCTCACGGAGAGGCTCTGCAGGGGTGCAGAAGGGTAGCCCCAGCCTGCCGGAAGTGGGTGCAGAAGCTCTGACCAGAGGCTCTGCCCTGTGGGGCCTCTGCGTCTTGGGAGCCAACACCCCCACCTGATGCCGAAGGCATTTGCAACGGGGGGGACGATGAAGGAGGAGACCCTGGAGCAATTGATCTGGAGCATTCTTGAGCCGCCCCCTCCCGGTCTGGGTCACGCCCTGCGGCAGGTGGGAGAACAATGCCGGCTGTGTGCTGTCACCCCTGCCCTGCTGGCCCAAGAGGAGGGCCGTGGCACGGCCCCAGCTCCAGCCTCAGCCTCTCCTGATGTCTCTCCCTCCCCGCCCAGCCCCTCCTATCTGCCATCTCCGACCATCCAGCCAGGTCACCTCCCAGGGCCTGCACATCACCAAGGTAAGTAGTTTCCCGTTTTCCTTCCACCTGCCCTTTTCGGCCCAAGCAGCAGCAGCAAACGCTGTGGCCCAGGAGAAACCTCTGGCAGCAGGAGTTCTAGAAGAAGAATTTAGAAAGTGGGATGGGACAAAAGGGGCCCTGGGCCATTCAAGCTCAGGACAGCAGCCAGAAGGACCAGACCTTACCTGGCTAGGTTCCAAGCTGCAACCACCCACCAAATGTGGGACTGTCTGGCACGGAGGGGCCCCCACTCCCAGGGAGTCATCAGTATCCACAGTCCTCCCCCAACCTCCATGCCCCCAACGTCCCCAGCTTAGGGAAATGTCCAGTGGCCCCTCATCCCCAGAGAGCTCCAGGCCTGATGGCTGGTCAGCCCCACAAGCCCCAGCAGCTCCTTGGGGCTACAGGCACGTGAAGCAGGAGGCCAGGGGCAGAGCCCTGGACCGCTCTCCCAGTCCAGTCCCACCATGGACTCTGCGTATGAGATGGGCCACATTTGCAAGCTGCGGGCACAGCGCATGCAGATGCAGGAGAAGAGACTTCACCAAGTGGATCAACAGTACCTTCCAGCACGGCCGGGTGAGTGTAGCTGGGCGTGCCCCACAGCCCATCTCTACTGTCCCCCCAGCTCCCTGGCCAGTGGACCCTGGGGGACTGCTATGAGGTCATCTGGCTGAGGCCACTTCTTTCGACCCTGAAGCACAGCTGAGGCCAATGCTCCTTCCTCAAGGCAGATGGTCCAGGAATGGGGCAGACAGGTGCGGTTAGGCTGACCCTGTGCCTTCTCCATCCTCTCCCATGCCTGCTCCATGCCCAGGTGGGCATCAAGATCCAAAACCTGTACACAGAGCTGGCTGATGGCACCCACCTGCTGCGGCTCATCTCGGGGGAGGTCCTGCCACCCCCCAACCGGGGCCACATGCGCATACACTTCCTAGAGAACAGCACCCGAGCTCTGGCCTTCCTCAGGGCCAAGGTGGGCACTGGGGAGAGGGCTTCTGGGCGTGGTGCTGGGGTGGGCAGCGGGGACAGGCTGGATGACTAGATCATCTTTCCTGGGCTGGCCACAGGGCAGAGCAGAGGATCTGGAGCCGGGATCCAGGAGGAGCAGCTGCGATACAGAGGTCCAGGAAGCAAAGCCCTTCCTTGCACAGTTCTCCCAGTTTAGAGAACATCCACTGGCTGAAGTGGAACAGCCATCGTCCCCAGTGGGTAGAAATGGAATATGCCATTGACTGTAATGAGAGATTGTGGAGTCTAAGCTGAAAGATTCAGTGCACTCTTAACCTTCTCTTTTCATAAATAAGGAAATTATTTACCAGGCAGACCCACAGTCAACTGGCCAGCAGATCCTGGATAGGGGGCCCTAGGGGTGAGGGAAGGTCAGACACAGGGGAAGAGCCTCGGACACTGAGCCAGGCAGTGGAGGGAGGAGATGCAGGGCTGCCTTGGAGAAGCTGGAACAGACAGCAGGGAGGGACCTAAGCAAACAGGAGGGACCCTGAGAGAAAGGGACAGGCCAAAGAAATAGTCTCTAAAAGGAGACAGGAGCTCCAGGGGCCAGTGTCAAGGGGCTGTGCAGGGGTCATTTATATTGAGAAGCAGGAATTGGGAGGCCCAAGGGCTCCTGGCCTCAGGTACTAAAACACGAGGTGGCTGCCCCTGGAGGCTAAGAAGTCACAGGTGGGACTGGCTGGGCTGAGCCTAAGTCCTGGAATGGAGGTCACAGCCAGCCGACCCTGCAAGCCTGGCCAGGAAGGTGAGAAGCCAAAGCAACAGACAGGAGCACTGCGGTCCCTGGGTGCACAGAAGAGCAGAAAGCTGCCGGCCACACAGTGCCAGGCCCTACTTGGTCCCAGCGACAATGGCCTGAGAGCCAGCCACCTCCTCTTGGGAACCTGGGGAGGGTGCAAGCCCCACAGCCCTTGTCAGAGGCTATGCAGCTCCCCTCAAGCTTAGAGACACAGCATGTCACCGATATGTAACCCATGAAGGTGACAGCCTTGTCTCCACCATATATATGAGGCAGCTATGGTCAAACTTTGGCCCCCAGCACACAGTTAATAAGTAGCAGAATGTGGGGTGCACTCATTTCTGGAGCCCTTGCCCTGTGCTGGGTACTGCATGTCACAAAGCCCAGACCTGAGCATAGGGGCCCTACAGTTTCAGGGGAGACAGTTTATTTGAACCCAGATCAGCAATATGCTGGTAAATGTTTAACAATCAGCTATCTGGGCTGGGGAGTTGAGGGGAAGGAGGCAGATGAAATCCCTGGTTTGTAGCATTTGCTGATTTCCAAGGCCTTCATACCCCTACCATGACGTCACTAAGCACAAAATCGGGAAGATTTTTTAAAAGGTGGCCAGGGTAGGCCTCAATGAGAGAGTAGCGTTTGAGTAAAGACTTAAAGGAAGAGAAGGAAATAGCCATGGGACTCTCTTGGGGAATAATATTTTCAGACAGCAGGGATAGCCAGTACAAAAGCCCCAAGGCCTGAGCTTAGAATCTCTGCAAGAATCCCATGGGTCTTAGAGCCATGGGGTCCGGAAGAGGAGGATGGAGCCAGAGGATGAAGGGGTCCAAGCCACATGCAACTTTCATGTTTATTCTGTTCCTTTCTCTCCTTGATTCAACCCTTCCTGTCCAAGTGGCAAAATCTAGGTCAGCAGGTTCTCAACATTAGTGCACATAAGAACCACCGAGGTGTTTGTCCAAATACACATTCCTGGGCCCTGGTCCAAGAGAGTCTGATTGGGTGGAGCTTGGGAATCTGAATGTTTAACAGGAGATGGAACACTGATGAAGAAGGCTGAGATTCAAATGTGAGCCAGGGACCCAAGCACTCACTGGAGATCCCCAGATGCCCTGGGAGGTGGAGGCAGACAGTCGATGCTGTCTGTTGAGCTCATACATTGACTTTTACGACTCTTCATCTCAACCTCCATAGCTGAACCACTGATCCTGGCCTGGGTTTACCTGTAGCCCATGCATGGGGAGTTCTCCTGCTCCTGTGGGCCAGCCCAGTTCACCATGTTGGAGCTTTACCTAAGGGGGCTTGGGACCAAAGCCCCAACTACTTAGAAACGCTTTACTTGCCTGGCCTTGTGCCTGCCTGCTTCTCCCCTGGGGATCTCCTAGGGCAGGACAGACTCCAGAACCCTCCCGTCCAGCAGCCAGCCCCCTGGACATTTGGTTACTATGAGTCTTCTCTTGTATATGGGCTTTGCAGCTGAGCCCAGTCAACTTTGCCCACAGGTGCCAGTACCCCTCATTGAGCCAGAGAACATCGTGGATGGAGACCAGATGCTCATCCTGGGACTCATCTGGGTCATCATTCTGTGTTTCCAGATTTCCCACATCTCCCTGGACAGGGTATGTCTCAGCCCCCAGTGCCCAGCCCTGGCCTCACCTCAGGGCCCTGGGGACAGAGCAGTTGCACCCAACTGTTAGGATCCCCACAACGGATCCTTGGCATCCACACAACTACTATTCACTCATCAACCACGGGCAAAGAAGTCAGAATGTCAGAGAGACTGTAATATGCTGAAGTGAGAACTAGATTCATAGGCTTCAAGCCTGATCTGGGACGAGTCATTCACTAGTGAGGGGGTCAAGGTACCTGCCCACCACCCATCTTTCACCCCCAACTTGTTACAGGGCATTGAAATCCTGTAACTTTCATTACCCCTTAATGTATTGTTGGGGGAAATTAAACATATAGAGGGAGCCCCAGCCCTGGAGTTTCCAAATCCCCAGGATCCTGAAAACCAAAGAGATGGTCCCCCATCTTCCTCCATTCTACCTCTTGTTTTCCCACAGCTGGATCAGAAAGAGGAAACACATAAAGTCCTTATATATGTCAATTTTCATAGTTTCTAAAACCCCATCTAAAACTTGATTCTAGTAGGTTAGGAAAGCAAACCTGGAGAATGAAATCCTAATGAAAAGAAGCCAGAGATTTGGCTCAAATCCAGGAGGATCCTTTACACTCATGAGGGAACTGTGAGCCCCAGGAGAGCAGAGGCCTTGCCTGGCTACATCCCCAGAGCCCAGCATGTATGTGGCGAATGAATGGATGGATGAATTTCTAACTGACCTCAAGCCCTTCCAGGAAGCCACGCTCCCCTCCCCCGCCCCCAAGGCCAGTTCCAGGTGCCCCTGCCACCCTTTCCCTTGGGAGCAGCAAGTCCACATCATCCCCTGACTGGCCACCAACCAGCCAACTGGCTCTCTCGTCCACCGCCAGCTCAGGCTCTGCTCCCTGCAAAACTCAGACATGTCTGGCACCAAGCTGACCTCACACCCGCACATGCTCACCCCAGAATCTCTCCTGGTTCATGTCTGCTAGCCTAGCCCAGCCACTCAGGATATCTGGACCTGGCCTGGCTGTGGCAGAGCCCAGCTCCAGGCCCTGAAGCTCTTTCCCCCTCCCCTCCCCTGCGCTGCTGCTCACTTGTCCTTCCTACCCAAGCTCTGGGGCCCAAAGGGCAGGGAAGGAAATGCAGCCTGCTGTGCTTTAACATTCTGAGTTTATAAACAGGAGTTGGTAGAGGGGAGAAAAGGAGAGGAAGAGTCGAGGGAAAAGGAGATGCGGACTCTGCGGTGTGAGGGGCAAGGGAGGGAGTGGATGAAGGGGAGGACCACTGAGGGCAGGACAGGGACGAGGAATGGAAGGCAGGGAAAGAAGTGGAGCCAGGAAGGAGAAGGGAAAGGAGCACCGAGTGGAAGAGGGATGCGGACGGGAGTGGGGGCAGGTGGAAGCCGAGAGTAGCAGAATAAAGGAGATTATCCAGGAGACTGAAACCAGTTATAGATGGTCATTTCCCAGTCTGAAGAAGCCGTCGCATGAGGCATTGTGGGGGCAGACAGGTGGGCTCCGCATGTCAGAGATGGGCTCTGTCAGATGTTTCTGGGTCAAGAGAGACCCTTCCCTATCAGCTGGGGAGCCCAGGGCAACTTCCTGACCTCTCTCACTGCACCTCATATGCCATCCTTAGAATGTAAATACTAATAGCGCCTACTTCTGAGGGCTGGGCTGGATGGAGAGCCACGTGTGCAGGCCGGTGGCTGGTTGGCAGAAAACCCGTGTTGACCAGGAGCCGGTCTCATGAAGCCCAGACTTAATTCTGTGCAGCCCAGGGTAGTATTAATGATAGCACAGTGCCTGGCCCATCAGAAAGGCTGGAGAAATGGGACTTACTGCTGCTGTTGTCACCAATTGCGACTCAAAGCCAGCTGCTCAGAGGTGACAGATTTCAAGCACTCTGCTTCTTTGTAAGGACAATCTTTCTCTCGCACCCCCATTCCCTCCCCAGCACGAGTGAAAGTGAGTACAGTCAGATGCTCCAGGTGGGACAGCAGGATCACAGCGTGCCCAGCCTGCCTCTCCCACAGCCTGCGGGCTCTGCTGCCCCACCCCACCTGTCCCTGCATGGTGACCCGCTGTCCTGTCCTTCCAGAAGGAGTTTGTGGCCAGCACAGCCCTGCTGTGGGCCAAAGAGGCTCTGCTGCTCTGGTGCCAGTGGAAGACAGCTGGCTATGCCAACGCCAACATCACTGACTTCTCCCGCAGCTGGAATGATGGGCTCGGCTTCAGTGCCCTCATCCACGCCCACAGGTGTGCATGAGGGAGGGGCCCTAGCACCTCCGGACCCTGGCCTGGCCTGAGGCAGCCCTTGGCTTCCTTCTGGGAGGCCTCTACCCACTGAGCCAACTGCCCCAGGACTTGGGTCCTCAACCCACCCATTCTCCCATGTCCCTCTGGCCCCTGCGCTGGGCACAGAGATAAAGACAGCTAGCAGCTGAGGCCCCGGTCTGTGATACCCCTATCCCCTTCCATGGAATTGGCCAGGTTTGCCTTTGACCCTGCCCTCCTCCACTCTCTGTGCCCCTGATTCTCTTTTCTGTCCTCTCCCTGGCAAGCACCTGACCTTTTGGAGCTTCCTTCCCTACCCAGGAGCCTGACCCCTGAGCAAAATTAATCCTCCCCTCTCCCAGCCCTATTCCTTCAGCCGGGGTCTCAGATAATCATCAGGGGAAAACTAATGCACTGCAAGGTATGAATGACCAATAGGAGCTGGTTTGCCTTTTTTTTTTTTTTTTCGGTACGCGGGCCTCTCACTGCTGTGGCCTCTCCTGTTGCGGAGCACAGGCTCCAGATGCGCAGGCTCAGCGGCCATGGCTCACGGGCCCAGCTGCTTCGCGGCATGTGGGATCTTCCCGGACCGGGGCACGAACCCGTGTCCCCTGCATCGGTAGGCGGACTCTCAACCACTGCGCCACCAGGGAAGCCCTGGTTTGCCTTTTTAACAAGTCCACTTAAAGCCGAGCAGTCAGCGACTCTGGTAAAGAGCCCTGCCTGCCCTCTGCCCAGGCCAGATCTGCTTCACTACGGCTCCCTGCATCCCGACCGCCCACTGCACCACCTCCACTGTGCTTTCCGTGTGGCTGAGCAGGAGCTGGGCATCGCTCAGCTGCTGGACCCCGAGGGTGTGGTGGCCCTACAGCGCGATGAGCGCTCCATCAGGACTCACGTCACCTTCTACTACCAACACTTCTCCCACCTGCACCAGGGGCAGACTGTCCAGAGGAGACTCGCGAAGGTTGGTAACAAAGGGAAGGTGGCATCGAGGAGAGGTGGGGTGAACATGGGCTCCGGAGTCAGACACACCCGAGTTTGAAGGCTGTCTCTACCCCTTCCTTGCTGTGTGGCCTTGGCTGTGTCACCTAACTTTACTGCACTCCATCTGTAAAATGGAGATGATGATTCCTGGGCAATAGATAATTAATTCTGGGTAATAGAAGGCTGCTATGAGTGTGCAAGGGAGCATAAGCACAGTGCCTGGCACACAGGAAAGCCAGGTGGGTGATGCCCCTTCCTGCCCCTCCCCCTCCCCCTCTGCTCTTAGCTTGCTAAGCTCCTAATGGGATTAAAAGGCTCAGAGAGCTGGACTCTGCAAGGACAAGCGCAGCACAGCTCTGCTGGGCTGAGTCCATGTTTCTGGGGGCTCTCTTACCCTCTGGGCACGATGGCAAAGGCTGAGGCTTGGGAGGCCTGTTCTCAGGGTTGGTGTCTCAGCTGGGCACGGGGGAGATGATCCAGGCCAAGGGCTCCGAGCTGCTTTAGGGGTGTGGCGGCCTCAGGGTGTGGCGGCCTCAGGGAAGGGAAAGAAGGCTCAGAAAAAAAACAGCCCCCCCACCCCCCATCGCAGTTGAGACCAAATGGAGTAAAATAAGGTAGAGGAAGGCAGGACGGGGTCCCACACTCCCAGGTCTGAGTGTAGAATGGCGGCAGACCCGCTTCTCTGGGGGCTGGGAGGAACCCTACTTTAGTGTGTCCTCAGCTGAGGGCAGGAGCTACTGCCCACCTGGGCAAGCCTGGCTGGCACTCAGTACCCAAAAGGGGAGGGCCTCCAGAGCCTGGATTCCAGGGCCTGCCCCCAGGTGCCGCCCTGACCCTTTCCTGTGCCCTCTGCCAGATCCTGCTTCAGCTCCAGGAGACAGAGGCACTGCAGACCCAGTGTGAGCAGCTGGTGGCCGACCTCCTGTGGTGGATCGCGGAGAAGCCGGTGCAGCTGGAGGCCCGGGATTTCCCAGACACCCTGCCAGGCATGCGCCAGCTGCTGGTGGCCTTTGCCTCCTTCCGCACCCAGGAGAAGCCACCGAGGCTGCAGCAGCGAGGGGCCACGGAGGCCCTGCTCCTCTGGCTGCAAATGGCACTCCGAGCCCAGAATCGAAGGCACTTCCTGCCACACGAGGGCCTGGGCCCTGCAGAGCTGTCCCAGAGCTGGGCAGGTCTGGAGCAGGCAGAGGCCTCGTGGAGCCAGGCCCTACAGCAGAGGTTCCTGCAACTAGAGAGGTTGGAAACCTTGGGCTGGCGCTTCCAGCGTAAGGCAGCTCTCCAGGAGAGCTTTCTAACAGACACAGAGCAGGTGCTGGACCGGGCTGCAGCCCCACCAGCCAGCCCAGCCACAGTGGAAGCGGCCACCCAGAGGCTGCGCATGCTGGAAGCCGGCTTCCTGCCCCAGGAGGGGTGCTTCCAGGCCCTGGCCGAGATTGCAGACATCCTCCAGCAGGAGCACTACCATGGCTGGGCAGAGGTGGCCTGCAGGTGAGCCCCAGACACGTGAACGGTCTTCAGAATAGGCTAGGGCCTTCCTACCGTGCCCCTGTCTTTACACAGCCCGTTCCTGGACACAGAGGCAGGGATGATTTATGGCTTTGGGGCTCCCTTTAAAAAGATCTAACTCCTGGGACCTCCCTGGCAATCCAGTCGTTAAGAGTCAGTGCTTTCACTGCCGGGGCCCAGGTTCGATCCCTGGTCAGGGAACTGAGATCCCACCAGCCGCAAGGTGTGGCCTAAATAAATAAATAAATAAAAATAAAAAGATCTAGCTCCCACTGATGTCTGAAATTCCACCATCCGTAATTGATCCCTTTTGGTAAAGCACTGTTCTTTCTAGATAGCCTCTTATTCATTCATTCACTAAACATTTATTGAGTATCTACTATGTCCCAAGTACTATTCTAGGTGTTAGAGATTTAGCAGTGAAGAGGACAAACAAAAATCCCTCCCTTCATAGAGCTTACATACTACTAAGGAAAACAGAAAAAATATATAGTATGTGAGATAGTGATTTTAAAAAATAATAAAGCAGAATAGGGGAATATGAGGTGCCAAGGTGGGGGGAGGGAATTATATTGGGTGGTCAGAGGAGGTTTACTTTTGAGCAAAGACCAGCAAGAAGTGAGAAGCCATACAGATATGAGGACAGACTCTACTAGTGCAGTGTCCCAAGGTGGGCACACGCGTGGCATATTTGAAAAACAGCACAGAAGCCAGTGTTGGCCAAGTGAACAAGTTGTAGTTGAGGTCAGAGAAGTATGGAGGCGAGAGGTGGTGGCAGAGATCCTGCTGGGCCCTGCAGGACACAGTAAAGACTTGGTTTGTACTCAGCAAAAGATAAGCAGTCATGACAGGGCTTGAGCAGAGGAGTGACACAATCTAACTTTTGTTTTACAATGATAACTCTGGATGCCATGTCAGGAATAGACTGAAAGGGCAAAGTCAGAAGGAGATAATAATAATCCAGACCAGAGAAGCAGTGAAGGTGATGAGGAATTGCTGGGATCCTGCATATATTTTGAATCCAACAGGATCTGCACACAGATGAGATGTGGGGTGTGAGAAAGTGAGTTATCAAGGTTTTGGCCAGGGCACCTGGAAGGATGGAGCTGCTATCACCTGAGATGAGGACTGGAAAGAAGGCTTCGGGGTCTGTGAAGGCCTGAACCTCCCAAGCCCTCCTTCCAGCTTCTCTGCCTGTGTCTAAAAGGTGGAGATACTACCCCAACTGGATGGATGCTCACAGCTCCTGCCACGGTACTCAGGCTCCTCCAGGACAGCCAATCCCCACCCCACAACTGTGGACCCCAAGGTAGCTTCCCTACCCCAGCCCAGTGGGTACCACCCTTATTCTCACATCCCCCAGGCAGTTGGAGATCACTCAGCGCTGGGAGCGTCTCCTTCCACGGCTGCAAGGGCAGAGGAAGCAGACGGCAGGCATGCAGGCTGTGCTGAGCCTGCTGAAGGAAGTAGACTGCCTCCAAGCAGCTCAACCAGCTGCACATGGGCCCTGGACCAGCAGATCCCTGGGAAACACAGCAGGATGCGCCAGCCCTGGCGTTCACGGGGACCCAGCACTCTAGGACTTTAATGACCACTCGTCTGTCCCTGGCCAGGTGCTGGCCAGCTCCACGGCCTGTGGGCAGCAGCTGGCAGAGGCAGTGGAGCTGCTTCAGGGGCATGACCTGCTGGAGGCCCAGATCTTGGCCCATGGTGCCCACGGGAGCCATCCTGCCCACCAGACAACGGAGCTGGATTCTTCCCTAGGCACTAGTGTGGAAGAGCTGCAGGCCAAGGCCAGGATGCTGGCCCAGCTCCACCAGAGCCTGGTGTCTCTTGCCAGGTCCCGGTAAGAGCTCACCAGAACTCCCCTACCCTCTCCAGAACTTTTCTGTAACGCAAATTACCCCCTGCCCAGCTTAAAACAGTGCTGCCTGGCAACTTCCTCTCCACTGACCCTCATCCCCAAGGCCTCTGTCTCCTCTGTTGAGTCATCCAGGAAAAAGAAAACTCCTGTCTAAGGGGGAGTGTCTGAGCCTGCTGGGGAACCCCCTCCCCAAGCCCCGTCACTCCCCGAGCCCCTCTGTGGCCCTTGCTGTCCCTCAGGCGGGCCTTGCTGGTGCAGACCCTGCAGCGGGCAGAGCTCCTGCACAACTGTGAGGAGGAGGAAGCCTGGTTGAGGGAGCGGGGACAGCTGGTGGAGGATGCGGCCCTGGGCCCGGATCTCAGGCAGATCGCTGCGGCCCTGCAGCAACACAAGGTGCCCACTACCCTGCGCCCTGCCGGTTCCCCTCTCCCTGCCTTCCCGCCCTTCCCCTCACCCAGCTTCCTGCTCTGCTGTCTGTCAGGCCCTAGAAGCCGAGCTCCGCCCGCCACCAGGCCGTGTGCACTGATCTCGTGCGAAGGGGACGCGACCTGGGCGCACGCGGGCCCCGATCGCGGCGGATCCCCGGGAACGGGCCGCGGTGGTGCAGAGCGCGTGGCAGAGGCTCTGGGCCCGGGCAGCGGGGCGGGGCGCGCGGCTGCAGGCGGCCCTGCTCGTCCGGCAGGTAGCTGAGTGGCGGGTGGGCAATGGGCGGCCGGACGGGGAGTGCGGGGTCGGCCCGTGCCCAGCCTTTCCTCCTCAGTACTTCGCTGACGTGGCGGAGGCAGCCTTGTGGCTCCGGGAGCGGCGGTCAGCGCCGGAGAGCACGTCCTTCGGGCAGGACCAGGCGGCCGCTGAGGCCCTGCTGTGGCGCCACCTGCGGCTCGAGCGCGGCAGTGCGCGTCTTTGGGGCCGAACTGCTGCGATTGGATGAGCCCGCGCCGGCGGCCGCAGCCCCGGGGGCATCGTCGCTCCTGGTACGCGGGGACCGACCGGGCAGGGGCCCGGACCTACGGGCCTCCGACACCAAATGCGCGTGCTGTGCCCGCTCTCCCATGGTCACACAGAGGGTGGAAATGGGAGGGCATTTGTGGCCCCTGACCTGGCCTTCCCCTGGGCTTGGAGGTGCCCACCCCTCCTCAGATCATGTCCCCTGCCGACCCGCCCACAGTTAGTGGAGTCCTGGCTGCTCACGGTTGGAGGCCATGGAAGTGTAGTTTGGTGTTGCTCACTTCGCCCGCCAGTTCCCGGGCACTGATCAGTTTCTTCCAGGAGCGTCCCTTTCACCACCAGGCCTAAGGTGACCCTTCAGTCCTATTTTTTGCTCTCTCTCCTGACTTGGCCTTTTTAGGTTTGGGGTGGCCTAATCACTACACCAGACTGCTTTCTGAACCCCCTCCCTCAGTTCATCGAGCCTCCAGTTTTAAAAGAAACAGATACCTACCTGGTGGGCAGTTTGGTCCACCCTATGAGGGCTTGCAGTTGTCTTTCAAGAAGCCATACATGTAGCTCAGGATGCGTAAATCACAGCCCTCAAACCCTGTACTCACATTTGGTCCCTCTACCCTCATCCCAAGGAAGCTCCATTTCCCACATGCCCTCTCTCTGCCTAGCCATGTCCCATGCACCTGCAGAGCTGCAGCTCAGGTCCTTGTATCTTAGGAGGGCGCCTGGTGGAGTAGTCGGTAGCTGACTGGGGTTCTGGTCCTGACCACCAGGGCCAGACTAACCAGGTCTGAAAAGTCTGTGGTTCTAATTTAGCCAAGGTCGAGCTATCTCTTTTCCTTTGCATTTATTCCCTGGACCACATAATTAACAATTTTTGAAAATAGATCCACAGTGTGTTAGCAGTTGTCTGGTACCTCTACAGATGAGGTAACCAAGGTTCACAGAGGCCAAATTACTGCCCTCACAGCTGCTGGAGAGGCCTCCCAGCTCCTGGTCCAGGGCTGTTTCTACCCCATCCTTTCCTGTGTGGCTATGATGTTTAACTCCAGCACTTAGTTATATTAACACACACTGCTTTTGGTATTGCCTCCCTCCTGTTCTGTGTGGCCTCCTTCTCCAGTCTGAGCTAATTGTTTAAATGAATGAATGCGAGGTGCCTTATCCTTCTTTTGTGTCCTCTGCTTCCCAGCCAGCCCTGGCATTGATAGAGAGGTTAGTCCTAGTCTCTGGCATTTCCAGACCCTTGCTTTGCCCAATGGGAGTGGTTGATACAGAAATGCCCCCTCTCCTGGGGGTGGGGAACCACTTTGGCAGCTAAGCAGAGCCTTCCCTCCTCCATACAGAAGGAGCCCCCTGCAGGCTGGAGCAGAGTTGATGGAGATGCGACTGGGAGACCTCAGGATGGGACCCAAATTTTAGCACTGCCGGGCAGCCAGTACCCCTGCCCTCTGGTCCAGATGAGCTTCATCTACAGAGGCGTAAGACCAAGACCCCATGTAGGAACCTTACCAGAGCATCATAAATTTATTCTGTGTGGCTCTCGGGGGCATCTGAAGACCGAAGGGAGGGAGTTAAGAGAGGCCATTTTGGGCTCAGCAGAAAGAAAGATGTGAAGCTGCTCGAAATTCTGAGTCTTCCTTTGTTTTCTTCCCCTTTCCAGTCTTTCTCTGTGCCTATTCCTTTTCTTCAGCCTGGCTGCCACTGCTGTGTCTTACCCTTGCCCAGGGCCAGAGGCACAGAGGGACAGAGACCAGATGCTCATCCACCCCCATCGGGAGGGCCAGCCTGTGCTTTTCCCACCCCTCTCTGCCCCATCTCCTACCACCAGAGCCACTCTGCCTCCCCCTCTGCAAATCCTACTCCCCCAGCCAGACCCACTGAGGCCCACCTTGTCCATGAAATCTTTCCCAACAGCCACAGACTGTTCTGGCCATTTCCCCCCCTGGACACCCATAGTGTTTATTTCACACAATGCACATTCTGCTTATCCCTGCACAGTCCCGGGAGGTGTCCCATCAGCTCTAGGTCTGTGGGCTTGCAAGTCCGAGAAGATCGTAAGGCCCTGAACAGGAAGCTCTGACCCTCGTCCTCTTCTCGCCCCCAGGGCTCCCGGCACAGGGCTGAGTGAGAAATAATCCCCCACCCATCCCCACTGGCCAGCTCCTGGGTCAAGAAGAGGAGCAGGACCAGGATAGCCCTCAGAACCTGTGCTCCCACAGGGACGCACTTCACCCAGCTCCTGGGAGAGACCCTGCAGCCCCTGTGCCAGACGAGCCCCGACACCTGGGAGCTGAAGGACTGGGGGTGCTGCCCGGCCAGGTGCCCCTCAGCCACATCATGGAACAAGAATCCCAGGTACAACCACTGGCCCCACCCAGCCTGGCCTGCTGCTGCTTGCGGGGAGCCCCCTCCGGACATGCTGCCCTCTGTCCTGTCCGCACAGGTGGTGTCTGCCCTGAGCTCTCCGAAAGAAGGCCCAAGAAACCCAGGGGCCCCGCGTGAGGTTTCCTGCTACTCTGGCCCCCGGGGCACCCAGAAGATGGCCCTCCCAGATGAGCCTGACCCTGACTTTGACCCCAGCACCATCCTCCAGACACAGGACCACTTGAGCCAGGACTATGAGGGCCTGCGGACCCTGGCAGAGGTAACGCTCCTTGTTCAAGAAACGTTCACGGAGCACCCACTCGGGGCTAGACCCTGAGCTGTGAGCCCAGGGACAGAGCAGTGACTGGACTTGCTCCCTGACCTTGGGGAGCTTACGTCATGGCAGAGAAGATGTGAAACAAGTCATTAGACAGACGCGGGTGTGATGGGAGCATGAGAGGGGAGCCCATGTCAGGACGGGGAGTCAGGGAAGGCGTCGCTGAGGGAAGGACATTTAGGCAGAGACTTGAACAATGAGAAGCTGAGAGCAGGTGAACCAGGGGGAGGGCAGGGGGAGATGGCAGGGAGGAGTGTTCTAGGCAGGACCTGTGCAAAGGCAGGAAAGAGGCCCAATGGAGGAATGAGGGCCGGCGTGCCTGGAGCACAGCAGTGAGGCCCAGGAGCGGCTAGAGGAGAGCAGGGGGCCCGGGTGCAGGGTCAGGTCCCATGGGAGAAGCAGGGATTGTGCCTAAGAGCCAAAGGACATGAGTAGGACAAGAGCAAAAGCACACATTCTGCCGGGGCCCTCTACCCTGTGCCACCTCTGACAGAGGGCACAGAGCCCAGCTGTGGGACAGGGACCGTTTCTGGCCCTGGCCCTGGGCTCTGCTGGTTGGGAGGTGATGGGGGACCTGCTCTGAGCGCCCCGTGGAGGGCACTGACCCTCACCCCAGCCTCTGGGCCGGCCTCTCCTCAGCACCGCAGGGCCCGGCTGGAGGAGGTGGTGGCCCCGTTTGGCTTCTATGGCTCCTGTGGGGAGCTGCAATCCTGGCTGGCAAACCAGACAGTGCCGTTCCGAACACTGCAGCCCCAGGCCACAACTTGGAGGTCATGCAGCTCAAGTATGAGGTACAGTCCCCTTGGAGCCAGTGGGGGGGGGGGGGGTCTTAGCTGCTTGGCCCTGCCGCCCCTCTTTATTCCTGCCCTGCTCCCTCCTCACCATGCTTCTGCCACCCCCTTATCCACTCTCAGTGCTCCATGTTAGCCATGGTCCTGTCTGGGAGGAGGGAGGGAGGGAGCTGGCCTTGAATGTTTTCAAATTGAGGTATAATTGGCATACAACACTATAGTATTTCAGGTGTACAACGTAATAATTAGATGTTTGTATATTATTGCAAAATGCCCACAACAATAAATCTAGGTAACAATCATCACCATACATACGTAGTTACACAATTATTTTTCCAGGGATGAGAAAGAACTTTTAAGAATTATTCTCTTAGCAACTTTCAAATATGCAATATAGTATTATTAACTATAGTTGCCATGCTGTACATTACATCCTCATGACTTTTTATTTTACAACTGGAAGTTTGTACCTTTCGACTCCCTTCACCCATTTCACCCATTCATTACTCCTCCCCTTTGGCAACCACCAATGTGTTCTCTGAATCTCTGAGCCAGTTGTTTTTTTTTTTTAGATCCCATATATAAGTAAGATCATATGGTATTTGTCTTTCTCCATCTGACTTATTTCACTTCGCATAATGCTGTCAAGGTCCATCCATATTGTCCTGAATGGCAAGATCTCATTCTTTTTTTATGGCTCAATAGTATTCCAGTGCAAGCGCGCACGCATGTGTGCACACGCACGTGTGTGTGTATCACATTTTCTTTGTTCATTCATCCACTGATGGACACTTAGGTTGTTTCCATAATCTTGGCTATTATAAATAATGCTGCAATGAAGATAGGGGTGCATATATATTTTTGAGTCAGTATTTTCATTTCCTTCAGATAAATACCCAGAAGTGGAATTGCTGGATCATATGGTAGTTCTATTTTTAATTTTTTGAGGAACCTCCATACTATTTTTCATAGTGGTTGCACCAATTTACATTCACACCAACAGTGCACAAGTGTTCCCTTTTCTCCACATCCTCGCCAACACTTGTTATTTCTTGTCTTTTTGATAATAGCTATTCTAACAGGTATGAGGTGATATCTCATTGTGGGTTTAATTTGCATTTCCCTTATGATGGTGATATTGAGCATCTTTTCATGTAGCTCTTGGCCATCTGTATGTCTTCTTTGGAAAAATGTCTATTCAGAGCCTCTGCCCAGTTTTAAATTATATTATTATTATTATTATTATTATTTTTTTTGCAATTGAGTTCTTTTTATATTTTGGATAAAACCCCTTACAAGATATATGATTCTCAAATATTTCCTCCCATTCCATAGGTTGCCTTTTCATTTTTGTTGATGGCTCCCTTTGCTAGGCAGAAGCTTTTTAGTTTGATGTGGTACCACTTGTTTATTTTGCTTTTGTTGCTTTGCCTTTGGTGTCAAATCCAAAAAATCATCATCTGACTGATGTCATGGAGCTTACTCCACTATGTTTTCTTCTAGGAGTTTTATGATTTCAGGTCTTACATTCAAGACTTTAATCCATTTTGTGTTAATTTTTGTGTGTAGTGTAAGGTAATGTTCCAGTTTCATTCTTTTGCAGGTGGCTGTCCAATTTTCCCAACACCATTTATGAAGGGACTGTCCTTTTGCCATTGTATAGTCTTGGCTCCTTTGTCATAAATTAATTGACCATGTATGCATGGGTTTATTTCTGGGCTCTCTATCTGCCCCATTGAGCTATGTGTCTGTCTTTATGCCAGTACCATACTGTTTTGATTACTATGCCTTTGTAATATAGTTTGAAATCAAGGTATGTGATACCCCCAGCTTTGCTCTTTCTCAAGATTGTTTTGGCTATTTGAGATCTTTTGTTGTTCCATACAAATTTTAGTCTTCCAATCTATGAACACAAAATATCTTTCCATTTATTTGTGTCTTCTTCAATTTTTTTCAGCAATGTCTTATAGTTTTCAGTGTACAAATCTTTTGCCTCCTTGGTTAAATTTATTCCTAGGTATTTTATTCTTTTTGTTGTAATTGTAAGTGGGATTGTTTTAATTTCTCTTTCTGATAGTTCATTATTAGTGTATAGAGTCAACAAATTTCTGTATATTGATTTTGTATACTACTTTACTGAATTCATTTATTAGTTCTAAGGGTTTTTTGGTGGAGTCTTTAGCATTTTCTATATGTAAAATCATGTCATCTGCAAATAGTGACAGTTTTACTTCTTCCTGTCCAATTTGGATGCCTGGTCTTGAATTTTTAAAGGGCCCTCCCAGCCCTTTAAGGACACAGATCCCTGTCCTTCCAGAGGGATGCAGCTCAAACATCTCTGTAGCAGCCCTTATCTGAGGTCATTCCTAGTCTTAAGGGAAGTGTGGGAAGAGAAAAGTCCCCTCAAGGCCTGGAATCTCTTTCCCCCCAAAATTCCTCACTGCCCTGGCTGTGGGAAGAGGCCTCTGGGCTGAGGTTAGCAGCTCCACTGAACAGCTGAAGCAGAGATGTCCTGGAGATTTCCCCAAAATCCAGCGACAGCAGGAGGACCTGAGCTGGAGGTGAGCATGAGGAGGGAGTGCAAGGTGAGGGGGGGCAGCCTGGATGCAGTGCCCAGGCCTGAGTGCCTGCTCACCTGACCCCCAAGATGCCAGGAAGAAAGACTGGACATGTCAGAAGCAGAGAGGAGAGGGCGTGGGGATGGCCAGCCTGGCAGCTTCTGTCATGCAGGCCTCCGGCCAAGACCCCAGGATGGATGGGGTGGTGTCCCTGCGACGTGACATCCCTGAGACATTCCTGGTGCCCAGGCCTGAGTGCCTGCTCACCTGACCCCCAAGATGCCAGGAAGAAAGACTGGACATGTCAGAAGCAGAGAGGAGAGGGCGTGGGGATGGCCAGCCTGGCAGCTTCTGTCATGCAGGCCTCCGGCCAAGACCCCAGGATGGATGGGGTGGTGTCCCTGCGACGTGACATCCCTGAGACAATCCTGCTCCCTCTGCCCAGGTGGGAGCAGCTGGAGGCCCTGAAGAAAGAGAAGGAAACACGGCTGGCATGCACCACACATGTGTGCAGTTTCCTGCAGGAGTGTGGAACCACATGGGTCCAGCTGCAAGACATGATACTCCAGCTAGAAACCCCAGAGCCGGGGCACTTAGAGGACAGCCACCGCGTCCTGCAAGTGAGCCAGCAGAAGATGCTGGCGCGGGAGAGAGGCGAAGGGCAGCCAGCGAGTACGGCCTGGGTTCGGCTCCGTGAAGGCCTGAGCAGGGTTCTGGAATGGGGAAGAGGACAGAAATTGACGTGGGGAGGACGGGCAGGATGTGCTGTCCGAAGGGCAGGGCACAGGTTGGGGAACAGTATGAGAACGTGCTCATGGCGAAAGGGAGAGCCACACGTGCTTGCTACCCCTAGGTGGAAGGTGAGGGGCCAGTTTAGAGTCGCCACCACTGGCCCTGGGGAGCACACTGGGCCCAGGGCAGGGCCCGGACTAGGCAGTGGGCCCTGTCTCACAGGGTCGAGGAGCTGGGCCCCACAGAGAGCCAGTCCCTGCAGGGACAGGTGGAGACGCCACAGGGGCTGCTGGAGCGAGTGCAGGAGCAAGTGACCTGACGGGCCTGGGCCCAGGCCAAGGCACAGGCCTGCCAGGGCTTCCTGCAGGGGAGCCGGTGGCTGCTGCAGGCAGGCGGTATCCGGGCTCAGCTGCACAGCGAGGAAGAGGAGGTGGTGGGCGTGGCCTCAGCGCAGCGGCTTCTGGCAGACCATCAAGACCTGCTGGAGGAGATTCACCTGCAGCAGGAGAGGGCGGGTGGGGCGCCCTTCAGGCTGGCCACGGCCAGTGGGGACGGGATACCGGAAAGGGAGAGGCAGGAAGTGGCCAGTCACCCAGGGGAGTGGTGCTTTAGGCAGGTTTACAAAGAGGGGGTGTAACCAAGGACTGGTCAGGCATCTTGCATACTTTGGGGAGGGACCTAGGAAAGAGTCTGAGCTTCCTGGAACGTTCTATCCAGTCCAGGCCTGGCCATACCCCATGCAGGTGAGCCTGGTAGATTGCTCTGTCAGGGTGGTCAAGCCTCCCCACCTAGTCTGGGTAACGCAGACTCCACGGACCCCTGGAGTGAAATGGCTCAGCCCCCCACCCCCCGGGAATAAGACACCCACCTCCGTAGTATGGTGATGCCTCCTCTCCTCCTACAGGGGTGGGTACAGTCTGCAGGCTGTGCCCCACGTGCAGGAGCCTGACGGGTGGCCAAGTGGGCACTGAAACCCAGCCCATCCCCTGCTCACTAGACTCCACTACCCGGCTTCTGGGCTGCATCAGCTCAGAGAAGTGGAGCCTTTTCCTAATTCACACAAAGATGTCGCCTGTTCCCAAGCTGTGAGCCTGGGGGTGAACCTGGCAGAGAGGGGTGGGTGCCTTTTCTAATCGCTCCAAGCTCCACCCAGGCTTGCGGTGGCCCCAGTCACATCCAGTTGCCTGGGCATCGTCATCAGCATGGCCAGCTGGAGCAAAGGTGTGACATGCAGGGAACTAGTGAGTCCCAAGTACTGGGCTGGGCTTGTTACATTCAGTGTCTCACTAGTGGCCCCGGGCACAGCTGTCCCACAGGACAAGCAGACCCCTGGGCTCACCAGCCTCAGACCCCTTCTGGTTACCCTTACATCAGAGCTCCAAGATGAACGATCCGTGGGGGTGAGAGGGGAGGAAGGTTGCCAAGGGGAGCAGACGGGGTTTCACCCTCTGCCTGTCGTCCTGGACAGGCTGCAGCAGCTGGAGGCTCGGGGCCAGCCCATTGGCAGCCTTGGACTCCCCGGACTCCCGAGGGGCGGCCAGTACCCTGAGGCTCCTGGGCCAGCAAGGCAGGGAGTTGAAGGCCACCTGGAAGCAAAGACAGCAGCGGCTGCAGGAGGGGTTGAAGTTGCAGAGGTTTGGTCGAGAAGTGGATGTTTTCACTGCCACCTGTGCCAACCACGAGCCCTTCCTACAGCTGGACAGCTTCGCGGTATGGAGCTCGGGGTGTGCAGCTGGGATGCTCCTACCCCAGGAAGTAGGAGCTTAGAAGCCAGGCTGGGCCAGGCTGGGCGGGAGGCCACTGGGTCAGCAGTGGGTGAGGTGGTGCTGACCCCCATCCTCCCGGCATGACCCCAGTCGCTGCATCTCCAGGAGGACGTGGGGGAGGCCCAGAGCCTGCTGCAGCGGCACCAGGAGTTTGAGTGGCTCCTGGATGCCCTGGGCCCTCAAGCAGAGGATCTGCGGGCACGTGGCAAGAAGCTGGCTCAGAGCCAACACAGGTGAGCCTGGGCCTGACTGGGCAGCACCTGCAGAGTCCAGGTTTCTTTCTCAGCTTACACAGACCGTTGCTTGAGGCTTGGAGAGTGCACGGGGAGTGGGGGGACAGTGGGGTGCACCCTGGGCTGTGGTGTGTCCGACCTTCGGGGTGAGCCTCAGGCAGAGTGGAGCCTCCCCATATCCTCCCCCACTCTGCCTGCCCTCCCGGGTCCGAGAGCAGCTGCCGCGTGTCTAGGCACAGTGGACCAGGCTCCAGGAGAGTGCGGCCTGGGTGGCTTCCCTCCAGCTCCAGGGTAGGGGCCGGCCCAGGTGCATGAGGCCTCCCTGGGAGGGATGCTTAAGAGGCCACTGCTGCACTAACAGCTGTGTGCTATTTGGAGCACTCTAGTTTATAAAGCACTCTCCCACATGTTATGTCATTGACCTCCAAGCATCCCTTGTGAGATAGGCATTACGGCTCCGATTTTTCCAGATGAGGAAAACTGAGGCTCAGGCCACACTGCTCAAAGGCAGGGGCTGGGCCCAAAGCCTTGGCCTCTTGAATAACCCCCTCACCCTCCCTCAGCCGGCTGCTCTCTGTCCTCATGGCCTCTGGCCACACTCCAGGCTCTTGCATGAGCCATGCGCTCCAGCTGCAGATCTTGACTCTGTCAGATACTGGTTCTGCCCACGATGGGGGCTCAGAGCCGGGCTAGTTCACAGGCCTCCCGGAGCTTAAGCCTGTTTGGAGACAGAGGACCGTCCATGACCTGGTGCGGCTGGAGCAGTGGGGACCCGGCCAGATGCTTCTCCTATCTGGGCACAGGGCACCGTGAAGCCAGACCCTGATTCTCCAGGCCTCTTTCTGCTGTTTTCCCCGAGACATCTTTCTGCCCATCTTGGTTTCCCTGTCTATTCTTGGGAGCGGTAACCCCAGGTCCCACCTCTCCTGCACCCCGGGATTGGCTCTGCATCCTGCTCTTCCCCTCGGGGCGCCCTAAGACCCCTTTCCCTAGAGGAAAATACCAGCCCTCACCCCCACTCTGTGATACCCACTCTCCCCTGGTTCCTGGGTAGGAATGGAAGCAGGACGTGCCAGAGGTGATGCTGTGGATGGAGGAGAAGTGGCGGATGCTGGCGGACGAGCCATCCCAAGAGCCTGGCAACATCCTGCAGAAACTCAGGTGGCACAAAACAGCTGAGCGTGAGCTGGTGGCCACCCAGGGGCACGTGGAGGGCCTGCAGCAGGTGTGGGACACTGGACAGAGCGTGCAGGGCCTGCTCACCTTCTCGTTTCCGCTGCACAGCACTTTTGCATGGAGCACAGTCACTGAAGGAAGAATCAACCTCAGTCTCCATGGAATTAGGATCCCCCAGTTTCCCCCTTCACTCAGCAGGCACCCCCTGGTCTTGGCACCCAAACTAGCCCAGGATGCTTCTGTCACCCCTTCCCCTCGGGTCTAAGAGGCAGCCTGCCGCCTCTGCCTGAATGCAGCCCTCCCACCAGCCATCTGGACCCTGCTCATCCCACACTGTTCGCAGGCGTCAGAGGAAAGCCTTCCCACCTCTGCCCACAGATTTAGGGCTACGCAAACAGCTCGAGCCCTTGTGGCGTGTGGCATGCAGCTCGCAGCCAGCCACCACCACTGCTGCCCCCTGGGCCCAGCCCGCCACGGCCCCTCCTGGTACCAGCAGCTCAACAAGACGCCCCGGGCCTCTGTGTCCACTGCAGGTTGGGAGAGAGCTGTTGAGCAGCAGGCACCGTGCCCAGGAGGACGTGCAGACCTGGCTTCAGGGCCTGAGCAGCAAGTGGGAAGAGTTGAACCGCCAAATGGCAGAGCATGGGAAGCAGCTCCGGTGGGCTCGGCAGCAGGACCAGCTCCTGGGGCTGCTGCAGGTTGGCTGAAGAGAGGGGCAGGACACAGGAGGGAGACCGAAGCTGGGCTGGGCTGGGAACAGCCAGGACGGGAAGGAGAGGGGAGGAGTCGGGGTGTTCTGCTGACTCTGAAGCGGCCCTGGGAAGTCCTGCAGCCTTTGGAGGCCTCTGGCCTAGGCCCGTTGACCCTGGCTTTACCCACCACTGGCCAATCCAGGATTGCCTCCTGTGTACCCACGCATGCTCAGCACAACTTGAGTGCCCCAGAGAGGAAGAAGTATGAGGGGATGGGGCTGTTCATGAGGCTCTGGGAGAAGGTGCGGGTTAGGAGTGGGAGAGGTGCCCAAAAGGCCGTTGGTGAATTTGGTGTGCTACTAGCACTGCAGCCTTAGAGCCCAAGAAGGGCCACTTGCCAGCCTGTATGTGGAGAGCCTAATGCGGCGCCTGCCGTCCCTCCCCAGGAAGCCAAGGAGAAGATGGAGCAGCTAGAGGGGCCCCTGCAGAGTGCAGAAATGGGGCAGGACCTGGACTCAAGCCGGGGGCTGCAGAGACAGCACCGTCAGCTGGAGGCCGAGAGCCAGGCACTGGCCGGCAAGATGGCTGCCCTCGTTCCCCAGGCCCACCAGGTGGTCAATACCCAGACCATCGTGGAGGAGACCCAAAAGTATCTCCAGATGTACTCGCCTGCTCGCTCCGTCTCCACTCCACTGTGTGTAATTGCCACCATGTGAACCTGATGGTGGTTTCACCCAGGGAGCCCGGCAGGGTGGCACCTACAGGCCCTGAGGTTGTCCAAGCCTCCTTCCCTTATGAGTAGAGTCATTCCCGTCAATAAATATTGACTAGAGGCCAGACGAGAAACTCAGGCAAGGCTTTATTGGGGCCCCTGCTGCAGCAGCGGGGAGCGAGAGCAAACAGCAGGTTCCCTCGTTTGCCTGCTCACTTGTTCCTTATATGGGGTGAGGGTAGGGGTGTGTCCAGGCATCGGGCTGGAGGGGTGGCTTAGGTGTTTTGCCCACCCCTCTAGTGGTGGTAAGTGCAAAGGACATGAGCAGTACCCTACTTCTGTCCTGACACCCTGTTTTTGCCCTCGTTTTGGCTCTTCAGAAGTGGCAGTTGGGCTTTTTTGGTCTTTTTATATCTTCTGTCCAGAATTTGCCCCAACTGCGAATGTACACAGTTATTTTTAGTCCCTTATAGTTTCTTTGTATTCCGTTGCGCAAGGAGACGTTAGTCCAGGTGCCAGCACTGCAGCAAAGGGTCCCAGGTCCCAGCCTGTCTCAGCTGGGGTCTGGACCCTCTCCAGCTGCCTCCCCATCATCAGATGAGGCTTCCCCAGCCCCAATCTCTTTCTTCATGGGTCCCTGGCTGGGCCAAGAAAAGGACTGAGCATTACCCTCACCTGTCCCCAGCATCCCCCATTGGCTCCCTCCACCCAGGTTCGAGTCCCTTCGGGGATGTCTGGCCGCCCGGCGACTGCAGCTGCAGGCCTCCGTTGAGCTGTGCCAGTTCCACCACCTGGGCGACATGGAGCTCACTTGGGTGGCAGAGCACATGCCTGCACCCGGCGCTGCCTCCGATAAATACTTGAATGGTGCCCACTGTCTTCTCTGCAAGCACGAGCATGGTCCTCATTTTCTCCCAGGATCCCTGATGTCCCATTCCCAGACCCTAGACGCCCTCCACCGCTACTCAGCGGTGCCTAATTGCCCCCAGCCCTTCTCTGCCAGCAAGTTTTGCCATGACTGAACCCTGGAGCCGCATCCACGGCTCTGTTCTGGGCACCCCGTGGCTAAGGGAAGCCCAGATTCGACAGCCCCTCATGCTGTTCTGTGGCAGGAGCTCCGCGCAGAGGTGAAAGCCCACCGGGGACAGGTGCGAAGGTTGCTGGGTTCCGGCCGCAGCCTTGCAGCCTCAGGGCGCCCCCAGGCCCAGCACATCGTGGAGCAGTGCCAGAAGCTGGAAGGCCGCTGGGCGGAGCTGGAGCAGGTCTGTGAGGCGCCGTAGGACGCAGAGGGCATGCGGTCAGGGGAAATAGCCAAAGTCGGGCAGCCTCTGCGAGTGAGGTCTGCGGGCGGGACCTGGAACTCTCGGGGAGCTGGATCGGTGGTGAGAACTCTGGGCCCGGAGCTGCTGGGTCCCCATGGGAAAAGAAGCCTCTTTTTGCTTTTCCTGGACGTATCAGAGCTGGAGGAGTGGGTGAAGGAGAAGTGGCCTCTGGTGAGCAGTCAGGACTGTGGTGGGGATGAGACAGCCATGGTCAGGCTCATCAAGAAGCACTAGGTAATGTGTCCTGAGCATCCCCTACATGGTCTGGACTGGGGTGATGATGGGCCATGAGGAAGGGGTCTGTCACGCGCCCAAAGGGCACATCCTGCTTCTCGGAGGCACAGAGCCCTGCTCTTTCTTCCTGAAGACTGTCCAGCCCCTTCCCCACCCCCACCCAAATCCTGCAGGGCCCCCTGCTCTCCCCCAGTCCCCCACCCCTTCTTCAGACACCACCCTTTCAAAGAGCCCACTCCCCTTCTTGCATCTCTGTAGTGGCCCACACTCCTGTGGCCTCAGGATTTCTCTGCCTTCTCTTCTTGCTTCTCTTCCCCCTGGCACTTTTCTCCTCTCCTGGGGGGCACCTGTTCCAGCCCTCCCCACGTCTCCCACGGCCTTCTCCCACACCGTGAATACCATGCTCTGAGTTAACCAAACACCGTGCCTGAAGCCTACCTCATAAGCATCCCTGATTAAAGCGAGGGAGGCCTGGAGCCCCCTCCTCCTTCCTGCAATCTGTCTCTCAGAACCACAAGCCCTGAGCCCCACAGCAATCCTGGTTCCTCTCGTCACTGAAGTGTCCTGCTGTCTGGGCGTTTTGTCTACATAGCCCCAGTGGTCAGTGTTTCAGGGTCCTGACTGAGGACTTTCAGGGAGCCATTCCTAAGGGGCGTGCCTGTAGCCATGGCCTCATGGAGCTTCAGCGTCCCAGGCATCCTGGGCAGCTTGCTTAACTCCATCCATTTTTTTAAAAAAAACTGTTTTGTATTCCTCCAATGGATAGGTTTTTATTAATTAATTTATTTATTTTTGCTGTGTTGGGTCTTCGTTTCTGTGCGAGCAGCGAGCGTGGGGCCACTCTTCATCGCGGTGCGCGGGCCTCTCACTATCGCGGCCTCTCTTGTTGCGGAGCACAGGCTCCAGACACGCAGGCTCAGTAGTTGTGGCTCACGGGCCCAGTTGCTCCACGGCACGTGGGATCTTCCCAGATCAGGGCTCGAACCCATGTCCCCTGCATTAGCAGGCGGATTCTCAACCACTGCGCCACCAGGGAAGCCCCTCCATCCATTTTTTATACTGAGATGCTGGGGCCAGTACCATGCCCCCTGTGGCCTCTATTCCTTGGCCCAGATGACCCATCATTCACCCTTCCCTGCTAAATAGTGAGCCCTCTGTGGGCACAGACTGTGTCTTCACATTCATGGAACAGTAAGGAACCCCATCACTGTCGGGTAGGTGGATGATGGGTGCGTGAGTGAGCGGATGGGTTGGGGTGAGTGGGTGAATGGACAGGAGGGTGGGTAGATGAATAGATGAATGAGTCACCCAGTCTGAGCTTTGCGTGCTGGCAGGTCCTGCAACAGAAACTGGCTCTTATTGGAGCTCCATGGAGGAGCTTGACCAGAGACCCCAAACCCTCACTGGCCCCGAGGCCCCTGTGCAGCTGGGCATGGTGCAGGAGAGGCCCCGGGAGGGGCTGCGGGCACTGCAGGAGTTGGCAGCCACACGGTGAGGGGCGCTGTACCCCTCCCCAGGTTTAGGGGGCCTAGCCACGGTTGGCTGTGTCCATACCATAACCCCGAGTTGGAAGAAGCCCGTGACCCCAGGCCCACAGAGATGGCAGATGGTTCCTTGCTGTGTGTTGCTCCCCTCTTTCTGTAAATTCCTCAGTGAGGGCCCACTGGGCAGGAACTTGGACCCCCAGCTCCTAGCTCCCCATCTCTTCCCCACATCCACACCCACACCTGCCCTATCCTGGCCTTCTTATGTTTACTCCTCCCTGAATCCAGAGCCTCAAGCTTGGGCAGAGACCATGAATAACCTCCTCCTTCAGGTCACCTGTTTTGGCTGGGCCAGCTGTCCCCAGGGGGGTGGGCAGCTAACTTCTGGGGAACCACGGGCTATCCCCACAGGGACCGGGAGCTGGAGGGGACCCTGAAGATGCACGAGTTCATGAGGGAGGCCGAGGACCTGCGGGGCTGGCTGGCCAGCCGGAAGCAGGCAGTCAGAGGAGGAGAGAGCCTTGGGGAAGAGGACGTTCTGGTGAGAAGAGGCCGGGGGTAGGGAGGAAGCCCCAAGGCAGAAGCCCCCTTGGGGGCAGGGGGCTGGCTGGGCCGTGTGGAGAAGGGGGCCCTGGGTCACGAGCCCTGGCTGAGGACAGGCCCTCTGGGTAGAGTGGGCAGGCCCTGCAGCCATCCAAACCCCCATGGTCCAGATGTCACTGAGGTGCCTCACTCCCCAGGCTGCTTGCTGTCTCGCCAGCTAGGGGCCACTCTGTCACCTACTCCCCTCTCCCCTCAGCGCTTCTGCACCAAGTTTGCAAAGTTTCAGCACCAAGTAGAGAATGGGGGGCCAACGGGTGGCAACCCGCCAGCGACTGGCAGAGAGCCTGCTAGAATGTGGGCACAGCGCTGCCCCTCAAGGCCCGTCAGATGCAGCAAGATCTGTGAGTGCCCTGCGGACCCAGGGCATGGGTTTGGGGGAGGGTGCTGGGCAGGCAGGTCCTGGATTGTTAGAGGGCACGTGCTCCCGGGGCCACACTGGCTCTGTCTGCACCTGAGGTGTCGGGAAAGGGGGATGCTTCCAGGGAAGCCGAGCCTGCCACGGGTGCAGGTCAGAGAGTCCTGCCCAGACCCCCAGGGACACTTTTCTAAACCTCTGGCTCCCGGGACTTGGAGGAGGGACTGTGGGAACACTGCCTAGCTGCCCACTGGCTGGTTTGGATCCTCCCCCGACCTCTGAGCTTTGAGGCAAGGTCATCCTCGTTCATAACCCCTAGCGTGGAGCCTGACCCAGCCTCAGGAGCTCAGGGAGAGTTTACTGAGTAAATGAGGAATGGAGAGGAACGATTACAATCTGATTGACTTATTGAGACTCGAAGGCACAAGATGTAAGGAGTATCAAAGAGCACAGGAATCAGTTAAGTGCTGAGCGTGACAACAGCAAAGGACTGAATTCAAAGCAAAGCTAGAAAGAGAGGCTCCAGGGCCAGGGCCAGACAGGAGAGGGGGTTAAGAAGGGGAGATTTGGGGGGCCTCCCTGGTGGCGCAGTGGTTGGGAG